GCTCAGGTCATGATCCCAGGGTCCTGGGATCGAGCCCCGCATCGGGCTCCCTGCTCAGCGGGGAGCCTGCTTCTCCCTCTGCCTGCTGCTCCCCCTGCTTGTGTTCCCTCTCACTCTGTCTCCCTCTGTCAAATAAATTAAATCTTTTTAAAAAATCCTATATTCAGCAGCTGCTACTTTTGAAAATTACAGCTTACAGACAATGTACACCTTTCATCAAGCACAGTAAACCTATTTCTACCTCAGGGCCTTTGGACTTGCTGCTCTCTGCACAGAGCCTGGGGTTTCACCTCCTCATCATTTCCCACCTGTCCTCTTAGCCTTTCTGACATCCTTGGCATTTATTTGTGTTGTGAGTTTCCTCACTGGATTATAAGAGCATGTTCTTCTCCACGAAAGCAGGGACTTGGCTCACTGCCCCAGCCCCAGCGGCCAGACCCGTGCCTGGCACATGATAGGTACTCGACCATCGGAAGCAAGCAGGAAGCCACAACACCTCGCTTTAGCCGGCACCCTGTTGTCTCAGGGCTTGCTGGAAGGAAATCCTCCCCTCTGCTTGGGCATCACACCCGGATGACCAACTCCAGGAAACTCTGTTACAGGGAACCGATGTGCTCTGAAGTCTGAGCATCTCTTACGAAGGCACCGAGATGCCGGGCGGGGGCCCCGTGCCGGCGGCTGTCACACGTGTGGCACTCGGCAGAGGCGGGGAGCAAGGAGCAGTGAGTGCCGTGGCTTCTCAGATACCCCTGCACCTGCCACACCAGGAGAGTCTGGCCAGGCATTTCCCCCTCGAGGCAAAGCCTGGAGGCGGAGCTGCTCCAAATTGCCCAGAGTACAGATGAAGAAGCTGAAACCCGAGTGTTAAGCCTTGCCACTGATTCCGGCACCGGGCCCAGAGCAGGGAGGAGGTGGGCCCCGTTCTCTGAATTCTATGGCCCCATGTGACAGAGGAGGGGCTCACCTGGCCTGAGTCAGGGCGACAGGGCGAGGGAAGGAGGGCAAGAAGGAGTGAGAGCTTACTTCCTTCCAGAACCAAAAAAGGAATGAGACCCTGCTATGGACCGAACTGCACCCCTGCCCCAAATTCCTAGGTTGGAGCCCTAACCCCCCAGTGTGAGTATGTTTGGACATATTAAGGTTAAGTAAGGTCATAGAAGGGGTCCCTGAGCTGGTAGGATTGGTGGCCTTTATAAGAGGAGAACAATCTCTTCCTCCAACCTGCCCTCCCCTTCCCCTCTTCCTTCTCCTTTTGTCCCCCTTGGCCATTTGAGGGCACAGAGAGAAGGAGGCTGTCTGCGAGCCAGGAAGAGCCCTCACCGGCAACCAGATCAGCCAGCCCCTTGCTCCTGGACCTCCGGCCTCCAGAGCTGGGAGCCACAGATGTCTGTTGTCCAAGTCTCTCGTGTGGCATTTGTTATGGTGCCCGAGCAGACGGAGACAGACCCTTACTCCCCTCTGGAACTCACAGCCACGGATCTCTATTTACGATTCACCAAAACTGAGCAACTTTAATCTGCACAGAATCACCTTTGAATCCTGTAAAATGCAGAATCCGATTCAGTAGGTCTGGGGTGGGGCCCGAGAGTCTGCATTTCTAACAGCTCCCAGGTGACATTCCTCCTGATGCTGCTGCTGGTCCACGGACCACACTTTGAGTAGCAGGGGTCAGCATCCACCAGGGTTATTATATAGAGAGAGTCTCCTTTCACTGAACACCCACCATGCTCCAGACATAACTAATTGATTTGCACGTCTTGTCTCATCAAAGCTTCCCCAGGAGTCACAGTCAAATGCCGCATTGCCCTGGGTCTTTGGGGTATACTCACTAGCTCATCATACGTTCCAGACTTAGACCGTGAGGAGCACTTTCATGAGATTTGAGCCCTTAAGTCGGGTAATGACTTTTTGGTTCAAACACGCAAATGTTGTTCTGCTTTGGGCTAGGTTTTCTGAACAACCCCTCCATGCACTGCACACTCCATCAGCAAACCCCACAAATGAGACACAGTGCTGGACCTCAGGTGCAAGCCAGCACCCAGCTCCCCGGTCTGGTCCTGCTCCCACTACACCTACTCGTGGTCTCCACTTGGCAATTAAAATAGCCGCCTACACTTGCTGGGAGCACTTCACCTGCAAGAGTCTGTTTAAACCTTGTAACATCCCAATGAGTAGGCATTATTTCCATCCTCACAAGGGAACTGAGGCCCAGAGATGCCAAGTCTTTTGGCCAAGGCCACACGGCTAATATCCAGGAGAATAGGGTTCAAAGCCACACTGTGTGGTCCCAGTGTTTTTTAACCACTCTGCTACCCCAAACTGACCGCGCCATGCTGCGCTGCTCTCTGAAATGCTGTTTCCCCTTGGTGGCCACCTGGTGTCTTCCTATTTATCTTCAAAGCCTGGTACAGCTGGGCCCTCCACTGGGAACCTTCCCAGACTCCTAACCAATGTCCTGGGCAGGGGCATCCTGGCATAAGAGCCTCAGCCACACGAGTTGGTGAGGATCTGTGCTGTGTTTGGGCCTCGCACTGGGCTGGGGGTGCCCCAGGCCACTTTTCACTATCCATGTGACCAAAACAGAGATGGCTCAGTGGCAATGTCCTTGAAGGCAAACGCCCACGCCTATATCCCTGTGCCAAGATCTCCTCGATGGTACTGGCCGCAAGCCCCTCCTCCCCCTCCCTCTCGTGCCTCCCTTTCCCTCCCCGCTCCATCCTGCGATGCCCTGCCCGGCAAGGCTGACCATCACTCTGGTCCTTGTCACTGCAAGTTCTTGGTCTCCATCCTCAGGGGCCTGCCCTACACCAGCAGCTTCCCCACCCACCTGGGCCACAGGGATTCCACGTCCTCCCCTCCCCCCTTCCACCCCACGTGAACAATGTGGTCTGCCTTTACCTTCCCTCAGGACGCGAGGTGGCCCTGTGTGTGGGCACAAGGCTGCAGCTTCACCACAGTCGCCTCCTTCCCCTCCCCCTCCCCTCTGCTCAGAAGCCTGAGCCTGCGCCTCACCTGCTGGTCCACACCCTGGGCCCCACACACCCCTTCCACACACCAGACCTTCTCAATCAGTGGATTGATGCCTTTCCCCTCTCGCTGCTCCGACTCCAACCGCCCCCTCGCCCTTGCCCTCGCTGTGCCAACCTGATCAGGAATCTCTAACGAAACCCCCCTCCCTCTACACAGGGTGTGTGTGCACATGTCTGTATACTCGGGCTGAGCACACACTGCTTCTGAGCCAGGGTGCTGGGGAGCCGATGACCAGATGCCACCAGAACAGAGCAGGCAGCATGGGAACGGAGGCGACAGCCAGGCCGGGGTCACAGGGGCTGCCTGCGTGTCCTCTCAACCAAACCAAGTCCTGAGTGAAGAGCCCTCCCGGGCTGACCGGTCGCCCTTCCCCGCCTCCTTCCACCCCGGCACCACGGCGTCTGGCTGTGCCCCCCAACGCACCTTCCTCAAATCCACGGGGGCCTGTGCTCTCTTTGGACACAACCCTCCCCTGCCCCTCCTGACGACCTCCTCCTTCTGCCTTCTCTGCTGTCGCCTCCCCTGCTCCCCGGGCCCTTCCTCACTGGTGGGACTCCCTACGAGCTGTGTGACCTGCAGGCACGTGACTTAAACTTCTTGAGCCCCAGCGTTCTCATCAGGGAAATGGACATCATCGTCCCCACCCCACGGGGGGGCCACCATCAAGGGTCCCCGCCGGCGAGCACCCAACAAATGTCCCTGTTCTCGTCCCCGTTATCACCCTGCAGTCCGCGAAGCCTGGCTCCCCGTGTGCTCAGCAGCATGTGACACTCACACAGGACTCCAAACCTTGGAATACATTTAGGGTTTCAGAGTCAACGACGAATACAGCTGTCAGGTCCAGTCCTCAAATTAGCCATCATCCCAAAATACAGCAAAAAAAAGCAAACCGTTCAGCCACGCCTCCTGGTTTTAAAAAGAACCTGACTTTCAAACAGAATACACCTGCTGGAGGGAGAGGTCCCAGGGCAGAGCTGGCTCTGGTTTGCCTGAGGACTCAGCAGGGTTGGGCCGCAGGGTTGAACTGCGCATCGGCCCAGCGCCCCCCTTTGCGGGCAGTGCACCTGCTGTGCTGTGAGGACATCCGAGAGAAGACCTGCCTTGGTCCCGGGGAGACTCGCTTGGCTGTCAGCTGTCCGTCAGACATGCCTGGAACGCCCAGGGGCCCGCCCGAGGGCTCAGAGGCTGGGAAGAGGGCAAGAGGCACCTGGTGCCAGCCACCTGCCCCTCACCTGCTGGGCCTGCTGCAGCAGCTCCATGCGCTCCCGCAGGACCTGGCTGTCGGACTCCCGGCTCTGTCTCAGGATCTGCCGGCGCAGCTTCTCCACGGCAGCCCGCAGGTCCTCCCGCTGGCCCTCGCTCAGCGCCTCGCTGGCCCTCCGCCCGGGCTCTTGCTGCAGCGCGCTGTACAGCGTGGCCTCCAGCTCCTGGATTTTCTGAGGGGCCCAAATCACACCGACAGTGGGAGATCACAAAGGGGCGGACAGTAACGGCCGGGGCAGTGCGGCTCAGGGAGGCAGAGCTGGAGGTCTCAGGCGGGGAGGGGAGGCGTGCGGGGGGCCTTGCAGAGTGGCCAGCAGGCGCGGGAAGGGGTGGGCAGGGGGGAGCGAGGGAGCCCCTTTCAGCTCCGTGCACACCTTATAGAGAACATGTCTTATTCGATTCAATCAAGAATAGCCCTCCTCTTGTATAGCAGAGGACAGGGCCATAGGAGAAAATCATCACAACCGCCCCTTAAAATGTGTGCTTCAAAGAGAGGCTTGTTCTCATTTTGTTCTTGGCGCCCCACGTATTCCCCCCACCTTGGGAGCAAACCTCCCCTTTTATCCTGGGTGGCAGTGGGGGGAAAAAAAGTCTCAAACTGCACACACGTGGTTTTCAGCCAGCTAGTTCAGAATGCGATTTTAACCTAAAGCAAACAGTGACAGTGTTCTAACCAGGCCCTCCCTGCTAAAAACGCGAGACGCCAAGTGTTAGCAAAGCGGATGAGAGATTAGTGGCCAGTCGAAGGCTCCTTGTGAAAGGCGAAGGTTTTATCGTTAGAGGAAGTTCTTTTCCACTTCACCCCAAGACACTTAAATATAGTTACCTCATAGGGATATCTAGGGACAAAAGAGAGAATTAGCTCCTTTTCTGCTTCCCTAAACCCCACCCGCATCATCCTTGAATGGAAACCCCAGCCTGGGCCAGGCTGACCATCACTCTGGTCATTGTCACTGCAAATTCTTGGTCCCCTCCCTCCGAAGCCTGTCCTACCCCTGAAACTTTCCCCACCACAAGGCTTCTAGTCAAGGGAGCTAAGGAACTAAGGAACTGCTCCTCGTCTTCCTAAGACCGACTAGACCAGTCTTCAGTTTGGATGGAAACTGCCAAGAAGAGGCGAGAGGTGGCTAGAGGCAGGGGGGCAGGGGGGAGGTTTTCCACGGAAAGCGTCTGCAGCCGTCTGGCCCCCAGCTCTCCCTGCTGCTCTCGTCAGAGCTCGCCTGTGCCTGCTGGCTCAACCCCTCCCCGTTCAGAGCTGAGCTTCTAGGAGACCCAGGTCACCAGCTTCCAGGCAGGACCCCACCACCCAACTCCAGAAGCTCCACTGCAGAGCCGCCCCATCTCATTCAGCGCGATGACAAAGGAATGCAGGTCCACATGTGGCTCCTGCCGTGCCGCCCTCACTGCTGCCCAGGCACGAGGCACTGCCACCCTCTTGGAGATTGTTACTTCCCTCACTCTTCAAATCCATCCAGCTTGGCATCAGAACACAACGCTGTCATGGGCCTGAAATCCCCCCTGAGGCTTTGGAACAGTTTTGGGAAGGAACATAGTTTCTACAGGGTGGCAGGATCAGCACGCCCAGGGGCCTCCTCTGCAGAACCAGGACTCAGAGGGACCCCCGGGGCCTTCCTGCGAGCGGTACTTAGACAGCAAAGGGTGGACACCGAGCTTTTCCAAAATGTGTTGGAAATCACCAGTCCTGCCAGAGGCCCCTTGAAGAGCCAGTCCGTGATCCAGTGAGCTTGGCAAAGTGCTTGCTTATGTTCCTCTCAGAGCCCCGGCGCACCCTTCAACCTTCAACACATTAAGGATCCAAGGAGCCCTTCAGAGTTTTCCAGACTTGTTCCATTGGCTTCAGTGCCTACGAATCTCCTGAAATCACATCCTCAGAGCTTTCTAGGAAATGCTAGGGAGGCAGGGCCACGCGACAGATGGTGTGTGGTGCGGGAAAGGCATTCTCGAAAGGACCAAGGTGGGGGTGGAGTTGAGGCAAAACCAGCAAGGGAATGGTTGAGTGTGAGCATCCCTCCCCTAGAAGGAGGAGATATTTCTATTTTAAATTGCCCTCCGCGCCATGACGATACCGTGTGCCCAGAAGTAAGCGCTAGGAGAGAAGATGGCCCGTCCCAGTGAAGCTCAATCCCCAGGACCTAAGACCTCTCCAGCTCCCTGTCCTCCTCATTCAGGCCTCAGACCCTGGACACCAAGAGCCGGGGGTCTTGGGGAGGTGGGCCAGCCCTCATGCCCAGGCTCCTGGCTCTCCATCTTCCTGGACAAGCTCATGGAAACAAGGGCTTGAAAGTCATTTTTCTGTTGTGGACTCTGCATTTCTCGGGTACGCACCATTTTGTAAAATGATCCTAACTACAAATGACTGGGGCAAAGCCTTGCTGGAGACTTTGGGTACCGCACTTCTTCCTGCAAGAAGGGACACTCAACTCTCCCTTCTCTGTGCCGTGGGGACCCCTGGTGGGGCCCGTATTATCTCGCTGTCTCACTCGCTGCTGGGAGAGTCCTCAAAACCATATGACACGTGAACCTGGACGGGATCCCATTTTAAGCTAACCACCAGGAAGCCCGGGACAAATTTTGTGACCCAAATGCAGTATGGCACAAGTAATTTTTATTCCGATCAGCGGCCTCTGCTCTCCTTGCTGAGCCTCCATGTCCCTCAGTGGCTGCCCCTCATTCCTGTGCACAGGAAAACTTGCTCTGGGGTTTTACACGTAAACAAGTATTCAAGTATCACAAACTCATAAGAAAGACGGTTTCTTCACACTCATCTCAAACGATTCCTAGAATTGAATAAGCACACCTGAAGAAACCATCCAGCTAAGTAAATGTTTTGGAAAATCATGATTGATTTGGAAAAAAGGGACAATTTCTCTGTACAGTCATTCCGGTCAGAACACAGACAGGGCATTTTGATGGCACCCACGGGGCCCTGGTGGGGCCCCTAAATGTGGTGTGCCCCAAAGGAAAACACAGCCTCTGAGGCAGAGTCTAACAAGCCAAAGCGACCAACCCACTCCCGGTCATACCAGGTACGCCTGGTCGAGGGCTTCCTTCCTGTAGTCTAGCTCCTCCTCCAGGTAGCCCTTCTGCCTGCTGAACAGGTCCTGAAAAAGAGGAGGCCCCCCACGATCGAGATCAGCGTGAGAACCCATCCCAGTGAGGCTCTGCAGAGCCCACCCACTCACCTCTGCTAGAGAGCGACGGTCCCACCAAGCTGGGGACCCGCCAGGGGCTCAGGTGATAAGGGACCTTATGGGGGCCTGACTGCACCAAAGCGATGCCCCTCCAACCCGGTGCCCATGCAGGAGTCCTTCTCAGTTCCTCTTGTCACGTCCTGGTTGCCCCTGAAGACCATCCCAACAGTTCTCAGATGTGGCTCTTCCTCCCCCCACGACAGCATCCCCCACCTTCCGACCAGTTTCACTGCTGTACGCCTCCTCCCCATGCCCGGGTCACCCTTCCGGTCCCTGCAAGCATGGTCTACCCAGAATGCAAATCTCCACTACTGGTTGGAGGGTTCCAAGGTGAGAGCTCCTCTCCTGTGGGCCCGTGACTTCACAGATGAGGAAGCAGGACCAGAGAAGCCCAGTGCCTTGCCCTAGATGCCACGGTGTCGTGGTGGCCAAGGACCGACTAGACTCCAAGCCAGGGCCCTCTCACACCACGTGTGCTCCCAGGCTGTAAGCGATTCCTTCTACCTTCTGTTTCCACATCTCATTTCTATTTGCAAAACTTGAATTGGTCTTTGAGGCTCAAGACCCATTTCTTCCGGGCAGCCCTCTCTGCATCCCCCAGGCTGGGCACAACGGACCCCCCATATGCCATAGCCCCCTGGTGAATAACCGCCACCACCGCATCTCATCAGGGACCCATACGTGCCAAGCAAGGTGCACAATTGGCTGTGCATCTCATGTCTCTCATCCCTATGGCCCAGCAAGGTGGAACTTGGAACCCCCACTTAGCAATGAGGAAAGGAAGGGCCAGTACGTCTTTCCCGAACTCTCATGGCCGTTAAGGAGCCAGCAAAGATGGGAGGCTCAGCTGTGTGTCTCTGGAGCCACTGGGCCAAGTGTCTCGGCATCACCCACGTGCTGCCCCTAATGTCCCCAGGCAGCACTGTGGCTGTTGGCTCATGAGCACACGTCCCCATAGGCTCGTAAGCTAGCTCCTCAAGGCAGGGACCCCACATATTCCTTACTGGACTGCTAATCCTGGCATGGCACCTGGGATAACAGAGGCTCCAAAAATAGGCATTAAGTGAACAACTGAGTGAGTGAAAGAGTGAATGAATGGAGGACAATTACCTGGAATAGACATTAGGGCAAACGCAAAATTTAGAAATGCATGCAAATAAACACCTATGAAAATACATGCAAGGGGGCACCTGGGTGGCATCTGACTCTTGATTTCGGCTCAGCTCATGATCTCAAGGTTGTGAGATTGAGCCCCGCTTCAGGCTCTGCGCTGGGCGTGGAGAGTCTGCTTGAGAGTCTCTCTCTCCCTCTCCCTGTGTGCACCACCCCCCGCTTGTGAGCATGCTCTCGCTCTCTCTCTCAAATAAATAAATAAATAAATAAAATCTTAAAAAAAAAAATACATGGGAGGCCTTCCTGGGAAGGAAGCTCTTGGCACCCTCCTGCATCCCAGAGGACTGAGTCTTTTACCTTTTCCCTCTCCAGGTCCAGCATCTTCTGGGTCAGGGCTGCCTCAGTTCCCTCTATTTGCTTCAGCCACTGGAAAACAGCAGGGACAGAGGGCCAGCAAATGAGAACCCATGCTGGCTGGGGGCCTTCCACCAAAGCCGTGTGCAGGGGGCCTCTTCGACGAGGCTCCTGGCCTCCTCGGCCCATCCCAGGGTGGCCCTCAAAACAGAATTTCATTGTCTGTACAGATGTTCAGCTTTGACAGATGTTTGCTCAGGGATCAACCGGGTCACGGATATCCATGTGTGCATGCGTGTTTCTGTGTGTGTGTGTGTGTGTGTGTGTGTGTGTACCTGTGCATGGGCTTGGGTACGTATGTCCAATTGAGCCTACGTGTCCAGGAGAGACTTGGTGTGCATGCTCTGGGGCCTGACTCCGTGCAGAGTGGGCCCCTGTGTGTGGCTGGGTGGCTGAGTGTCATTGAGGTCTACTGCTGAGTGCCTCGAGGGTGGCTTCATGCTGGAGACCTCATCCAGCCCTTCACACCCATCCCATGGCAGAGGCAGCATCACGCGTTTTATAGGTGAAGACATGGGTGCCTAGTTAAGTCACTTGTCCAAGGTCACACAGGTGGGCAATGAGGACTTCTAACCCAGCCTGCAAAACCACACCCCTGCAGCACACCCGAGTGGCCAGGAGCACTGCAGAGTGAGAGGTGTGTTGAGTCCCAGGGCATGAGGGTGCTGAAGTGGGCGGGCAAGCACCTGCCAAGGGCAGGTCACAGGGACAGTCTGCCTCTTCTTGGGTCTGGGCTGGTGGTGAGCAGGAGGTGGGCAGCTGTTTCTCGGGATGGAGGTCTGTTAGGTGTGTCTTTATGAGGAGCCCACCTAAGAGAGGGGCTGGTGGGGAGACCTGCGGGGGCTTTGGTGGGGATGTCTGAGGGCAGGGGGTGTCCATGTTTGACACCATGTATGAATGTGTGCACTCAACACGATAGACAGCCTCCTTGCCTCCAGGCTGGGGACCTTTCCTGGCCTCCCAGCCTCCCTCAGCTGCCACGCGAGGCTCAGCTGCCTCCTGGCTTTCCTTCTCTCCTGCTAGGGACTCCCCCTCCCCTTGGAGCCCTGCCCTTCCCTTCCCCCCCCTCGCTCCTTGCCTCCCTGGGGGTTCTCCCTGCCCCTGTGCTCCCTCTGCTCTCTGCAGTGTCCCCCTGCAGCCCAGACCGCCCCACCACACCTCCCTCTGATGCCTCCCTAGCCTCCCTGGTCCCTCTGCTGGGGAAGAGCCCCATTTCACCCAAACCAGAAAGCAGGGAGCAGCCTTGATTTCTCCTTCTCCTCCCCTGTCCATACGCTGGTTCCACCTTCTACTGTTTCAAACACCCTCCTGCCGAACACCACTGCCACCATCCCTCCAGGCTCCTGTCTGGACCCAAAGCCCTTTCTGCTTTTGAGTCCGCATGTCCTCTCAAAAGCCCACTTCTGCTTAAAGCCCTCAGGGACATCCCATCACTCCTGACAATGGCTGGTCCCCAAGCCAAGCCCACTCTCCCTGACTGGAATTCACCACCTCTCCCACCCCTGGCCTCAGCCCCAGGCCTTCACTGAACTAACACCTACTCAGCCTTCAGGCCAAGTTAGCTGTCACCTCCTCCAGGAAGCCTGCCCTGCTTCCTACCTCCATGGGGTCAGGTGTCCTCTAGGATCCCTATGTTATCCTACGAGTGGCTCTCACAGCACTCACCTGATGGATTGCTGTTGTCTGTTTCCCTCCCACAGAAGCCCGAAGGTAGGGACCATATCAGACGTGTTCTGTTACACTTCCTTAACCAGCACAGGCCTGGGATGAAGCATGGGCCCAACAAACATTTGCTGAATGAGAGCAGACATGAGAGTGTGGAGGTCTGGCGGGGGGGAGGGGTGCTGGCTCCATGGAGGGAACAAGACTAGATAAAGCTGTGATCACACAGGTTTCCCCCAACATCAAAGTGAGCTTGGCCCCCAGAGTGGACCCCCAGAGCCAGCAGCAGAAGCAGGCACCCAAAATAGAGCATCTCGTTAGACATTACTGAGAGGATGTGCAATGTCTTAGAAATAGATAAGCATATTTTGGGTAGGAAAGGAAAGACATTTCATTTTTAATATCCTAATGCAGACAGTCCTAAAATGAATAAAATTTAAATAGAAAAAAAATCAAAATCCAGTTTTGAATCATTACAACAAGCTGCTCTTAGAATAGGTTTTATAGAATATGGTGTCCAGTTTCTACTTACTGTTAAAAAAAAAAAAAAGATTTGACATACGTATTATGCATAGAAAGAAAAAACTTGATGAGTGCTTCTCAGCAATTGAAAGAGGAAAATGAGGACAGAAAATGCTGGCCATGAGCATCCTGGGTACAAAAGGTCATGAATTTCGTATGGAAGAGAGTCCACCAGATAGCCACTGGGCCACACTCCAAGAGTGAGCATCTAAATGCAAGTGGCTCTGCACCACCCTCCAGGAAAGAGGGGTATGCGGACACTGCCCTCCTCCAAACCCTCAGGGAAGAAATGAGTCAGCCTACAGGGATGCGAGGAGGAGGACATCATGTAGGAAGCCAGGTCTCTGCCCACAGGTGCAGGGTCCTGAGCCCCAGAGCTGGAGGGTGGGGGCCCTCTCTCCTCTAAAACCCAACTCTCTCTTCAAGAGGGTCCCAAGACCTTGACCCCAAGCCAACTATTGGAAAGCTTGGCTGTGGCCACAGGCCTAAGCTGAATTCACTAATCTATTGTTACCAGTGAGAACATGAAAATTTTTAAAAAACTGCCATCTGTCTGATTGGTTTTGACTATTTCTCAATTGGTTTTGAACTTTAAAGAGCTTCATAAAGAAGAGGTGTGAATTGGGGCGCCTAGGTGGCTCAGTCGGTTAGGCGTTGGACTCTTGATTTTGGCTCAGGTCATGATCTTGGGGTTGTGGGATGGAGTCCTGAGCTCTGCACTGGGCTCTGCACTGGGGGTGGAGCCTGCTTGGGATTCTCTCTCTTCCTCCCCCTCTGTCCCTCCCCTCATCTCTCTCTCCCTCTCTAAAAATAAATAAACAAAATTAAAAAAAAAAAAAGAAGAGATGTGACTCTGATCACCTGTAAACCCTCAGATGTCCTATGTTCAAGCTTCTCTTCTGGGCATGTGCTGTGTGTAAAGGACGTGGGGTGGAGACAAGATGTGGCCCCTGACCTTGGACTCTGCTAACCTTCAAGAAGGAACCAGGCTTCCCCAGGCAAGTAGGAGCAAACCCCCAGAGCAAGATGCCCTGGCAAGGTCATCCAGGAGCACCATGTGACATTCTTAATTAGAGCTGCACTTCACTTATATGCTACAAAAGCGCCATTGTGCCTCCAAAGAGAAAATTGAATTTGCCCTCAGTTTGGTCAGATGCTGACACTGAGTGGCAATTTTTAAAACTACATGCATTTGGGTGGGGGGGTCTCTGATCCCACTGCCAGCTCATGAGCTCCAGGGTGACCGACTCATGTGTGCTTGCTCAGGACTGTCCCCATTCCAGCACTGACATCCCCATGTCCCAGGAACCCTTCAGTCCAAGGCAAACTGGGCAGTCTGTGTCCCTGGGGGTCCTGTCAGGGCTCTCAGCTGGTCCTGCAGACCCACCTTTCCTCTTGGGGCCACTCCCAGCACCAACACTCCCTCTAGGGGGACAGATAGCAACTCCCAAACCTACGGGATCTTTAGTCACAGACCTGTGGCAGAGCTGAGATCTCCTAGACCCAATCTGAAAAAATGGGAAAATACTGGTCTGAGTCCAGTCCCCAAGGACTGTCCCAGATCCGGAGGTGGGACCCTCTCACCTGCACCCAGTTGGCTGGTGAAAGGTGGGGGGGGGGTGGCCTGTGACAGGGTCAAAGCAGACAGTTGCTGCAGGCCAGGCAGGGGTATGATGGGGGCACATCGCTAATCTCGCACGGTTGCTGAGAGGAACAGGGGCCCTATAGATCTGAGGTCGGAAGTCCAAGGCTGCAGGTCTGGACACCCACGATTTGCCGGGCTGTGGGGAGGAATGTATCAGGGAGAAGGGAGCAGCTTGAAAGGGGCTACTCTCAACGAGGCTGTGAACTCCCTACAGGGTGTGGCCCTCCAAGAGACTCTGGGGGTTGGAGAGAGGGAGGCCCCCAGGCCTGCTGCCCAGGCCCCTCCCAAACCAGCCACCCAAGTCACGCAAGGGGTTGCTGCTCTTGGTTCACCACCCACCATCACTGGTCAAACCCCTTTGCCCTAAGTGCTCAGTAGCAATGTTTGGTTCTGCTTAAAAATGCCATGTCCTGGAGTCCCGACACCAACCCTGCCAGGTTTGTGGGTTCTCCATTCGGTGGCTCACAGTGACCCAGAGACCGATCCGCAGAAGCCCCAAGTGGGGGTCCACCCAGGAGGGGCCTCCCAGGGGATGAGGAAGGAACTGCTGGGCCTGACCTCACCAATCCTCCAGGGAGCGCTCGGCACTAAACTGAGTTTTGAGTGTTTACTAGGCACTTTTATGTCACACTCCCCAGAGCTCTGCACAGGACATTTGGATATACTGGTGTGAGGGATGTTTACTGAATGAGTACCCTGTGCCTAACCCTGTATGGTTGCCTGAGGCTAATGGGTCCAGCAGCCAGCCAGGTGTGAGTCAGCATCACCCCCTGTCCAGCTGGGGACATAGGCTCAGCCAGGGGAAGGGATTTGGGAAGTGACTTACCTCCTGTGTGACCTCGGGCAAGGCTTTGCTTAAGTCTGTTACCAACACTTTGTGCCCTTCATGTGACTAGGGAGGAAGGACAAGAGCCCAGGGCAGAAAAGTATTTCTATTTTCAATGCCCCTCCAAAAATTCTGGGAAGAATTTTAAAGTTTAACTCCTGTGCTTTGAAAGGAAAAGTCCTCTGGATGGGACTGCATAAAAGTTATGTGTACCTAAAATATCCTAAACAAATGTAAAAGGTAAACAAACCAGGAACGTATTTTTAACAAATACAGCAAAGAGTTATTATCTTAATATGTAAAGCACAAGGAGGAGTCAGTAAGAAACACCATACTTAGGACAAACACCTATTGAATGAACAGATGAATAGATGAATGAATGAATGAATGAATGAATGAATGAACGAACCAATAACAAACAAACCCAATGGAAATTGTCAACAGAAATGTTATTACAATTCACAAAGAAGGAAGAAAATAGATAATACATAATAACAACCCAGTATCACTAGCACTCAAATCAATGCAAACAGATACACGAACATCTATGTGATTTTAGCCTCTGGAACTGGCAGGGTTCTTTAGCGGAGACACGCTACGCTGAACGTGGAACCAGCAATGTGGTCATACTCAGGTCGAGGGGGAATTGGTACCCCTTTTCTGGAAACCACTTTGACAATATTAAATCTCTGAAAAACCTCCCTACCAGTTGGCCCAGTGATTCCACCCCTAGAATCTATCCTGTGGAAGTGTTTTAAAAGGTAGGTAGGAATCTCCGGGTAGAGATGTTCACCGCTGCATAACGATAAATAAGAAAAAACAAACAAAAAACAAAAACAAATGGAAAGGCAAAATCTAGCATAATTAGCTTCTGATTTAACCACTGGGTAGAACAAGGCGGAGTGGAAGCGGAGGAGGCAGGGTTAAAAACGGGAAGTCAAGTACGATTTTGACTAAGTTTAAAAAATAGGCATGGGGAAAACCTGGTAGGAAATCCACCCCAGTGCTGCAGATGCTTTCCTCGACGGGGTTTTCCTCTGCTTCTGCGCTAGGCTCTCTAGGGGAAGCGGGGGTGGCTTTGGGCCCGGGAAGGAACAGCATGCGCGTGCACATGCAGACGCAGACGAGGAGCGCATGCCCCAGAGCCAAGCGAGACACCAGTGCGCAGGTTCCTGCGGGGCGTTGGGAAGCTCAGACACGGTGCACGGACAGAAGTGCCGCGGGGCTCTACCTTTTCACACAGGGCAAGCACAGTTCCAGCTTGGATTATTGCAACCTGTTCTTCGTTTCTCAAATTCTAAAACACAAAAATGTGGGAAGGGCGTTTTACACTGGACCCCACATCCCCGTGCAGATAGCCAGCGCTGACCGGCTTTGACGCCCCTCCGAGAGGGGACCTCGGGGCTCGGCCCCCACTCTCTAAAGAGGCCAGCTTTCAAATGCAGCTGCAGCCCTGCCCTCTCTGGGGCCAGGACTTTTGGAGATAGGGCCTGTTCGAGCCAATTTTCTAAGGGGGCAAAAATACCACGTTCTGCTTTCGGAAATCTGGAGGGATCCCGCGCTCCCTCTGGGTGATCCTTTGTGCGCGCCCTCATCCCTTGCAGGAGCGAGGGAGGAGCTAAATCCAGAAGCTAAGTCCGGAAGCCTCCCCTTCCCCCCAGTGACACCGCAACCCCCATGACAGCGTGACCCGCCCGTGACAGCGCGATCCCCCCGTGACAGCGCGGCCCGCCCACCCCCGCGGGGGCACGGCCAGACAGAAGCCTTACACTGCACGTGTCAGATCTCTTCGGTTAGGAAGAAACCAAACCCATAGGAAAGGAAAGGCACACAGAGCACACCCAGGTGGAGACAAGAGCGCGCGAGCAGAAGCCGACCGGCATAGTTACCCCATTATCGCCAAGGATATCTAGCTTCTTCATAAGTTCAGAAACATTCACATCCTGGAAAAGATTTCCAACGTTCATTTTGCGGGAGGCGCCCAGCCCGTGCAGACCGGTCTCTAGCGCCGCGGCCTCGGCCTCGCCCGTCCCTCTCCCGGCGCGCGCCTCGGGGCCGGGGCCAGGAGCTCCCGGCAGCTCCTTCGGTCGAGGGAGAGAAGGCAGTGCCTGCCACTCGCCCGGCCCGCGGAGCTTTCCAGAAAGGCTCGAGAAGTCGCGAGGGTCAGGAGGACCCCAGCCCGCAGCCTCGTCTCCCGCCCACTCACTCACTGCGCGAGGCTGCGGGGCGCAGCGCTGCTCTGACGTCACACCCACGCCACGTCACGTCACGTCACGTCGCGTCGCGGGGTGGGTGCTGCCATTCAGACCTCACGCGCGGGAGAGTGCGGCTCGGAGAGCTCGCGGCCCAGAGCTGGGACGTGGCCAAGCTGGGGTGTGCCCTCAAAGCTGTGTCCCACGGCTCTGCTCTTTTAACATGGGTACAAATAGAGTGACATTGGGTGACCCTCTGAAAAATGAACTCTGGCTTTCAAAATACGGTGGGGGGGCCGGGCCATCTTGTTTAACTCCGTTCTATGTCTGGCACAAAGGCACAATCCCCCTTTACGGCTGAGCCTGGCCTTCGAGCGGGCCCCTGGCGGTCGGTTTAGCGGAGGCACCCCCCCAAGCACGCTACCTTAACTCCTTCCTGGTGACAGAACAGCTGGAGAGCGCTGCTGTTGTTCTCGGGGAAGGTGGTGATTTGGAGGTTAAAGGCTGGCGACCTCCGCTCTCTCTCCTGGAGAAAAGATTTGGTTTAAAAACAGAACTTTATTGGATTATTTACCACTTGCCATTTTCCCACGTTACGCAGCAAAAACCAAGGCATTCCAGTTGGCAAAGGTGTTACTAAAAGGCGCACAAACTACCATCTCCTGGTCCTCGAAGGCGCGCGCCGTGGTCCCACCTCTGCAGCGCACTGGATCTCCTGCGGAAATGTGTCTACTTCTTACCTACTCGGCTAGGAAGAAAACGTTAACAAGGTGTCATGTGTTTACCTGCTGCGAGATGGAAACCCAGGAAGCCACAGATCATCATCATTCAGTACTTGGTAAGAACGAGTGCGTGAAATCTCAACAGACAACATAGCCACCAGCCATGGCGTGTCCCCTGCACCCTGTGGCACATCACTCTCTCATTGAATCCTCACAACCCCACGAGGCAGGCATTATCGCTTTCATTTCATAAACAGGGCGGCAGGACCAGGACACAAACCCCCCATTCACTTTTTTTTTTTTTTTCCAAAATAATCTGCTGATTTCATTCACAGTCTTTTTTTTAATTGCACTAACACACCAGTGATCATTCTATCCCTGCCTTAGATTGATAGTCAAATCTCAATTACTAAGGAAGGAAAAGTAGGCATTTTCCCAGAAGAGGTACTTATTAATCAGATGTAAAGTGACATGTTTTTAAAAAGGACAGGAGAAGCCCAATTAATTACAGGGATATATTATATAGATCTGCCTTGAAAACTTGAGCAATGGACAGGCTAGCTTTATGGGAAGGCCAGCAGAGAAGACCTTTCTAAGTCATACCTTTAAATCAAACTGCTTTTATTTTCTCAAAATTACAGTAAGATAAGTAAGCATGCTTTGGACCATTCCTGCAGAATCTAGTGACAGCACCCATCGGTCTCTTTAGTCACTCAACTAAGAAATGTAACCAAATGAGCACTAGCTTGGATGGTGGGACCTACGCAGATGCTCTTGGATAAGGCGAATGGAGACTGGGGGCGGGGGGGGAGGGCATTCATTCAGTTGACTTCCCCAAAGCCCAACCTGGCTAACCTGGTTGGAAGCAGTTCAGGGGGAAAAGTTTATTTCTCTTCTTAGCCAAGAAGACCAAAATTCACAGTGGTTCCATTCTATGGATGTCTTCCTACCTACAACACTTAAATGGAGTCTCCATAGAAAAGGGGACAACAGAAAGCTCCTATTTTAATATGAACAAAAGTCAGAAAATTGGTTTCTAATGGCTCTGAAGGATGGTGGAGACACGTAAAGAAAATTCTAGCACACTGAGAAATGCTCATGGAAATCTCCTGAGAAAGACGCATGACAAAGCCCTGGGAAAGGCTTCCTCGCTGGCCGAAGTGTGAACAGGGACCTCACATGGCTTCCGGCTCCTGCCTTGTGAATGGAAGACCCCGTTCACGCTCAAGCAAGAGTTGAGGTGCACAGTAACACTTGGTTTGGAGACATTCAGGCCACAGTCCATGCCAACACAACAAAGGACAAGATGGTAAGTTCTGGTGCAAACAACTTTAATGGAAGCCAGGAGGAGGAAACAGAACGGGAGGGACACCAGTGTCGCAAGGCTGCTGGCTTTCCCTGGGGCATCCGTGCATGCAAAGGCTTCAGCGGAGGGAGAGCGGGGCCACTCAGGTGCTCAGACAAACAGGTGCTCAGACAAACGAGTCACAAACCTAGGTGATGTTTAAAATGTGGATGGTTTTTAAATGGCAACAAACAAAAGAGATGAAGTTGCATTGCAACACAATGCTAGGCACCCGAGGGCGAGGTTTCAGTGGGAAGCAGTAAACCATCACTATTCTTATGCTGGATCCAACTCTGTACTGGGGACGTTACTGAAGGTTTGGAATGTGATGGTTACCCGTGAAAAGCATTCAGGCTCCCTCTGTGCTAATAGCAGTTTTGAGTTGCAGGTTGAGTTACAAACAGTAAGTTTTCAGTCCAGTGCAACCCCGTGTGACACCCAAGCCTGCATTCACTGGACGGGGATTTGGAACAACCATACGGGTTCTCTCAAACGCCTATATACAAATACCTCCCTCCCCCCTGCTTACTTACTTACCTGTGTTTACCTCGGCAAATAGAAAATGGGCCAAACTAGCAGTAAACACACTACAGAGTCAGTTGTGGGCCAGGTCGGGCCCTGCTCTTTCAAAAGGAGAGATTCCCTGCATGCAAGGTCACTAAAAAGGTGTGTTATTAATTGCAACAGTGCTTCTGTCCGGGTTTGCAGAATGCATACCAGGTGACTATGCATGCAGGAAAGAAGTAGTTATGGAAATGAAACACAAATAAAAAAGGCAAAATATTGCAAAAACAAATTATTTTATTAAGTGCAAAACAAGCCGTAGGCAATAAATAGATTAGCTCTGGTACATGTCCAAAGACTTCGGTGAGCATTCTCTCCAGAACATATTAAGGCAGTGAAATTATTCTGAACATACAGATTTAAAAAAAAGAAAAGAAAAAGAAAAAGAAAAGAAAAGAAAACAACTCTACCACGTCCCTTTACACATGCTGGAGGACATCTGGGAGCTTTTACATGAATTTCAGTTTGGGCTCAAAGAGAAGGTCTGCTCCGTTTGAGAGCGCACAACAGATAGAGTCTCTTACTTCGAGCTCCAGCACTCGGAACTCTAGCAGCTCGTTCTGGTCCTTCGCATCTTGCATTTCGTTCTTCAGCTGGCTCTCTTCCATTTCCAGTCTGTAAATCTAGAGCAGACGCACCTGTGGGTTAGTGGGCAGGAGGACCGCCGTCTCCAGGGAGACGTGGCCTGCTTAGTGCAGATGGGGGGGGGGTGCCTGCTCCATCCCTCTGGCCCCAGGCCTGGCCCGGAAGATGGGCTTCTCCACAGACTTGCTGAATAAATGAATGATGGGGAAACTGAGGCACAGAGCCACTAAGTCCCTTCCTGAGGTCAAATGTGAGGGAGGCAGGAGTGCAGCATGGGCGCTTCTGATCCCAAAGTCTGTGTGTATTATTTTTGCATGCTGTCTTCCCCCCGCAACCCCCAGCCGCCAGGGTGATAACCCCACCCCCAGACAGAGTGGGACAAACCACAGCAGAAAAGCATACACTGCTGTCACCCAACCAGAGGGCTCAGGAGAAGGCTTAGCACAAGCAGCTCTCGTGTAGGCACAAGTCTATCTGCGAAGGTGGGCTGCTTGGTCTGACACCCACCGGGAGACCCTGGAAAAGCACCCTAATGGCTCCATGGCTCAGTTTCTGTCCAAGGAGCATAAAGCTGCCCGTCCTCCTCTGGCAGCAGCCAGGACTGACTGAGAGAAGGCACAACTCCTTATCGAGGGCTTCCATGAGTCACAGCCACAGGCAAAGGCCTCTCCCTCCTCCTGCCTGGAGAACCAGAGGGGGTTCTCCACTGACGGGGTGCTGCGCCCCAGGGGACATTTGGAAACAGTGTGTTTTCTCCATGGCTCCTTAAATTTAGTGAGCAGGACCAAGGACACGGAATCTCTCCCAACGCACGGACTTGACCTGGAGGGCAGTGACAGGTCTTGTCCCAGTGCTCCAAATGCTACAGAGAAACACAGGGAAGTGAGCGGCCACGCAGCTGGCCAGTGAAGAGCTGGGGCTGGACCAAGCCCCCTCCCAAGAGGGCAAGGCTGAGCTCATCCAGGGCAGGCATTCTAGGATGCTCAAAGACTAAGGCCTAACCTAGGTCTGTCTGGTTCTGCTAGTATGGAAGGTCTGAACAGAAAGTACACTGCCAGTTGCCGGGGGCTGAGGGGTGGGAAATAAAGAGGGACTACGAATGGGTACAAGGGACCTTTATGGGAGGCTGAAAATGTTCTAAAACTGCATTGCGGTGACGGCTGCACAACTCGGTAAATTTACTAAAACAAAACAACTCTGAATTGTGCACAAATAAGAAAAAAATAAAGCTAAAGTCTTGTCCCAAAGCATTAAATCTACTCCCCATGCTGTCTCGAGAAAGGTCTAGAAAGTTCCATGATCACAGAAGGAAGACAGGCTCAGCTTTGTCGGCGCCATGGCCTCCAGTTCAGCAACTGAACCATGATGGCTTGAAGGCCTGCCCATCAACTGGCACCTTCAGTCCCCCCTGGTGGGAGGGGAAGGGCTCTGGAACCCCAAAACAATGGCAGAGGTGGGAGGATGGAAGGAGGAATAACGACCCTCACTGTGTCTGCAGGGTGATCTAAACCAGCTCTGCGGGCCTCGTCCCAGAGGACAGAACCAGGGCCAATGGCTGGGAAGCCCCAGGAATTGGGCTCTGACTCAAGGTAAGGGACAGGTCCCTCCTCTGAGAGCCGGTCAGGAGCCGGAGGGCTGCCACGGGGGCGCCTCTGAGGGCCCTGACTGTCTGGGCTCGGTGATTCTCTGAGGGGGCAGTGAGGGGATTGATGCCCACCTACCTTTTCCAGCAAGTCTTGGTTTGTTCTGATGAGCAGCTGCTTCTCTTCAACCCACTTGGAATCCTAAGAAAAAGCACTAAATATGTTCACACTCCTTGAAGCAAACAGGCAGCTAAAGAGCAAAGTGGTGTCGGTGACCAAAAGGCAATAGAAAATTCTGTATGGAAAGGTCAGAGAAAGGGACAGCAGCTGGAAAGACATCACGGTCCCTCTAAACTGCTACACCCGAAAAAGAGCCGGCAGGTTTGTGGGGTGTCCCTTCCCCACGGCTCACGCCCCCCGAAAGCACACAGAGTTCGTGCTGTGAGTGTCCTGGATGGGAAAGCAGCTGCAGAGGGACCGAATCGGCCCTGCAGACCCGCTCAGGCTTGCTCACCTCGGCCCGTGGGCTGGGACCCAGGCCACACCCCAAGGGTCTGCCCCTCACCCACGGACCTGGCATCATCACAGGGCCGTGCTTCTGTGCCTTCCGGCCCCACTGCCCATGATGCCCTAACGGCATTTCTTTGCCTGGTCAGGTCCCATCCAGGGAAGTCCTGTGAGCACAGGGCGCCAGGCCTCTGTTTCCACCATGGCATCCCCAGCACCTAGCACAGGGCCTGGTATACAGCTGGTGCTCAATAAATACTGGAGGATGGATACATGGATAAAGGAATAGGTGAAAGAACTTCCTTCTTCCTTCCTCTCAGCTCTGGTGGCCTCCTGGGCTTCCTTCTACCAACATTTATCACCCTGTGTTGTCCCTGGGTTGACAAGTGTAGGCCCCACGAGGCTGTGAGTCCCCGTGAGGACAGAGCCATGTTCCACTCATCTTTTTGCCTGGAGCAGACTGCCTGCAGCCATCCCGCCCATCTGCATGCACATGACCCTTTGCAATGTGACTTTGCAGCTCCTCCCGATGAGACGTGATGGCTACTTCTCCAACCCTGAAGTGGGGCGTGCTGGAGCGTGCGTTGGCTCCTGGGATATTCGCAAACAGGACTCAAGGAGAGGCTTGGAACATACTTATGCATTGAGGCCTCCCCTTTCTTCCTGTCCCCAGACTGCTAGGCAAAGAAGCCAGGTTAGCTTCCTTGAGAGTAAGAGGCCACAAGGAGAGATCTGGCCAACAGCAGGTGCCCATGCCCAGACAGGAGAGAGAGGCCATTTCAGGCCACCTAGCCCCAGCTGATGTGTCGGCAAAGCAGCCTCGAGAATGACCCCAGGTGAGACCAGCAGAAGAACCACACAGCTGGGTCTAGCCCAAACTGCGGACCTACAGGACTGTGAGCAAATACAATTTTTGTTGTTTTAAACAACTAAGTTTTGGGGTGGTTTGTTACACAGTGATAGCTAACTGACACATTATCCCTGCACACCAAGCACAAAACTTGGTGTAGGGTAAGGGCTCTGGTGGCTGCTCCCTCAACAAATGGCCGTTTGTTTTGTCCCAAACTGGCCCTTCCATTCAGCAGGTGCTGAGGGCAGATCCGGCCCGCAGACATAGAGCGAGCACTCTCCGGTGGGGACGGAACGTAGTAGAAGACGACAGTCAGGCGACACGTGAGCTCAGCCTGCAAGAGGGGCCGAGGTCACTGGCAGGTAGAACAGGAGTTTGAGAACAGCCTTCTCTCCCACCTGGACTCTTCCCCGGCTGCTTCCTTCTCCCCATTCTGCCTCCCCAGTGTGTGAAGTACGATTACTACCCCGTTTTAAAGATGAGGGAAAGAGACAACGTCAGTTGCGCGGGTCACATAACACGTCAGGCAAGCCAGTCCCAGCGTGTTTGCCCTTCACCCCTCCCCTGCCTCTGTGGGGCGTTCTGGACCACGGTTACAGAAGCAGTACGCGGGGGCTGGCCACTCGTCGGCTCCGTCCGTGCCCAGAGCATCCTGGTCACCACCACCCGAGCCCTCGTGCCGCTAACTGGGCACGAGGCCGAGTTCATTCTAAGCCACCTGTTCAGAACCCCGGACACCACCTTCCCTGAACACCCAGCCCCAGGCCCCGCGTGCCAGCCAAGGACCTCAGGAAACCCTCGCCAGCCCACCTCAGCGCCCACGGCCTGCCTGTGCACCGGGACCATGGTGCCACCTGACTCCACCCACCCCCACACGGCCCTCGGCACCCTCACCGTGAGGTGTGAGGGGGAACCGGTGACCGTTTAGGAGAAAGGCGCGGAGGCAGCAAACCCGCCTTCTCCTGCCCTCGGCAGAGGAGGGCGCGCCATGGATGGGGCGGTTCCCAGATAGCGGTGCCTCCGGCACAGGATCCCTGAGTGACCCCCAGAGTGGGCGACCCCTGCCTCCAGGAGGGACAGACGGTGTACTGAGCAGGAAATAAACCTCACTGTGCTAAGCCGCTGAGAAGTTCCAGCTACCTCCTACCACAGAGAGAACAGCTGACCTGCACTGACTCCAGGTGGGCGCTGCCTTTGGATGTTTCCCTCTGAGAGGCTGGACCACCACCCAGAGCCCCCTCCATGGTCTCCCCCAACCCAGGGCACGGGTCTGGGCCTGGACTTTGCCTCCCTACTGTGTCCTGCCATCAGCCCGGCCTTGTCACGCTCAGAGAATGTGTGCATGGAGGTGACTCGACTCTGAGAAACTCAAGGGCTGGGATTTCCCGGGACAGAGTCACACACAGCGTGGAATCCTGAGGCACGGGCTGAGGGGCCAGTTCATTTTCACAACTAAACCCCGATAAATGAATGCAGCTTTCCTTCAGATTCAAGTCAAAAAGGATTCTGGTCACCACTTTGCTTTCTGAATTGTCTCCTGCTTTCACCCACTTGGCCAACAATGAAAAAGCCAAGTTAGAATTTCATAACATGTTTTGGTTTTTTAAAACCCTGCAAATAGGCACCTCAGCTAGGACATTCTCGCCTGGGTTCGGCCTGGGTGTTTTTTTCTCTAATGTCTCTGGAGCAAACAACTCAGACCCATAGAGGGGGGACCCCCTCGGCACCAAGGCCACAGCGACACCACGAGGGGACAGACGTGCAAAAACCCCACGATCACTCCTGCTCACCTGTCCCTTCTCAACCAGTAACTTCTCCAAGTCTTCGATTTTGGCCTGACACCTCAGCAGGTCAGCTTGGAGCTGTTCCCGAGTCTGGAACGAAAAGGATCAAAAAGTGAGCAGGTCACCGGGAATGGGTGACAGAGGAGCAGCAAGGACCGTGCTGTAATCCAGGCCTTGGAAGCACGTCCATGCATGGGTTCCAAGGTGGCCTACCCAACTGCACGTATACGGTTTTTAAGAATGGAAGGGTCTCGAGACGTTGGTGGCTCTAACCCCCTCAATGTTATAGGAAATGACACGCAAGCCTGGAGCAGGGGTCGGCGTCCTCGAGGACGTGAGTGAGCCAGAAGCCAGGCGTGTCAGGGTTCCCCATCCCGGCTTTCTGATCAGTTTAGTGGCTGCTTTTACCAGCACTACCAGGCATGTTCTGTGGGCCCTTGATTGCCTGCAGTAGGGGCTGAAAGCCAAAACACCTCAAGGACCAGGCAGGTGTGTGAGTCAGGGAAGCCGACTGTGTGCGGGGTGTGAGGGGGCGGGGAGGACTGTGGAACACAGCCCATCTCAGGGGAAATCACCACCTGGCTGCAGCCAAAGCTGCTACCACGTGGAACGGGAAGCCAGCCGCTGCCAGGCTGAGCGTGTTTTGAGCTGCCGAGAGAGGTCAGGAACCTGGATTTCTATGTGAAATCTCCTGATGCTTAAATGTTGGCAACTAGATGAAACTTTTAATAAAAACTACACGATTCAGCCTAAACCATGCCCAGCCCTTTACTTCCTCTGACCTATATAGGTTATAGGCTGAATCCTTTACTGTGGCACAAAAAGCTTCCCTCCCCACAGCCTCATCCGCCACCTCCGACCTCATGGGGCTGTTGCAGGAATGAGATCGGGAACGTGCTGGAACATGCTGACCCCTGTGGTGTGCTCTCTGGGTGTCCCCTCCCTTTCAGAAGGAAGGGCAGGCACCTGCTGCTCTATGTGACTCCCGGAGATGGGGTAAGGGCCAGTGAGTGGAAGTTACTGGAAGGCAGAGCTCAGCCCAGCACAATGGCGGGCACGGCCCAGACCTGGGAGGCCGGCAGGGACCGGAGTGCCTTGAGGGAGCACCCCCCCAACAATCCCTGCATGGGCTCTGTGGGGTGTTCACAGCCTGGGAGGGGGAGGAGGGTGAAGTCTACAAGGCCACCACATCTGTGATTTTGTCCCTGGGTCCTAAAGTCTGAATGCACTCCTACAAACAGACGGCACACATGATGTGTGCTAGACAACAGTATCGTTTCTTCCAGCAAGTCCTACCGTCACTCTGAGGATGGCGAGATAGCACCTGTGGGGTCTGCCAAGGCTTTGTTAGGTGCCCCCCAACACCTCTCAGAATCCCCTCCAAGTGTCACAGGCAAGGCATGGAGACCCTGGCGGTCCACCCAGCCCCTTGTGGCCCTTGGGCCTGCGACACTCACCCGGGCCTCTCTCTCGGCATCCAGCGTCCCCCCGACCTGCTCCTGAAGCAGGGCATAGGCCCGCTGCAGGGCCTGGTACTCCCTGGTCAGCTGGCAGAACCTCAGGTCGGCCTCCTCCCTGGTGGTTGTCTTAGCGTCATGGAGAAGAAAGACATAAGGAAGCACGTGACTTGGTGTGGCTCCGAGTGCCGGGGTCCACTGAGACAGAAGCACACATCCAGCCCTCACAGCCGTGGCCAGTAATTACTTAGGGAACTGGTCACTGCCAGGATGTCACCAGGGCCCTGGAGTGACAGGCTGCGGCGGGGGGGGAGATGCTATCCCAATCAACGGCACCCTTCCTGGGAACTCATGGAAACCCGGGGGGATCCTTGAGTCGCGGGCAAGGGAGAAAGGGCAAGAGCGCCCCAGAGCCAGCCCCTCCCACCAGCACTTCTCACTCTGGGAATTTCTCCGAAGGAGACAACCCCCTAGGAAGCAGAGGTACAGTACTGGACGGGCACTGGCGCATTGTTTATAGTCATGGAAAGTGGGAACCACCCGTTATGCGGGACCTGTCACATCAAATGCGTCTGCGTGAGACATCCCCCGCTCTCACGAGAGATGGGGATGTGGAACACGGTGTTTGGTGCCCAGAGCTGCCTGTTACATCCTGGGGGTCACATGTGTCTGGTACGACCACGTTTTACTTGGGTTTCCTAAGAGAATTCAGCTGGGGGGTGCGTGGGGGGGGCCAGGACCACGCTGCCCTTTGCACCTTCGTGAGCCCAGCTCACTCGGTGCCGCGGTCATGAACCTGGATGTGCGCGATGATTGGGAAATGTCAGGGTGGTGACTCGGCAGGAGAGGGCTTCCGGTGGTTTTTACCGCCCTCTGCGCTTGCCAGCACCCTGTGGTTACTCTCCTGTGTGACGTCATCTTCTTAATGAAAAAGCAGTTCATGCTATTTCCACTAGGTGGTGTGCCTGTGTGTGCGTGCACCTGTGTGTGCACGTGTGTGTGTGCATGTATGCATGTGTGTGTGCTCCTGTGTGCGTGCACATGTCCCTGTGCACACGCACAGGGGGACCAGGGACAGCCCACCACACAGCAAGTTTAATTGCAAAGATAACAGCAAGGCGACAACAGATTTCCTTTGTGAGATCAGCACTGGGGAAAGAAAGGGACTGCCACATGCTGCCAGCAGCCCCCCTTGCATTCTGGAGCCCCGCCCAGTGCAGGGCGACCTGCCCTCGGGGCTACGGGTTGTGATGATGCAGGCCCTCCAGGCTTAGAGCTTTAGGTGGGGGAGCGGCGGGCGGCTGTCAGGTGCCGGAGGCGCCCCCGCAGCGCCTCAGATGTGGGGTTGCTTACATCGTCCAAGTCTTCCTCCGGCGTGGCTGGGGCCCTGTCCGTCCTGTCTGTGTTGCAGGATGTTTCTGACAATGTCTCCGAGTCCACGGACTCCTCATCAAATCCAAAAAATGTCTCCACAACATGCTTCTAGAAATGTTAAGTCAATGTGCATGACATCAGGAACGGACTCAAAATTGCTGAGTTCCCCTCCCGCACACCCCAGCCCATCACCCCCCGGGGCACAGGGGTGACTACACACATCTGAGCCCCAAAGGCATCCCAAGAGGCGGTTGGTGGGGTTCCTGATGGACCGGGTGGGAGAGGAGGTCAGAGCACACTGGCCTGACCCTGGCTCCTTCTGCAGCCACTTAGCCCCTCTGAGCACAAGCTTCCTTTTCCATCAGACAGACATGGAGTTTTGTTCAACTTTTTATTACAGAAAACTTGGAACACTCATAAAATTAGAAGGAACAGTGTAAGGGACCCTCGTGCACCAATCACTCAGAGGCAATGTTAACACTCGGTGTGCCGGCTCCCTGGTTAGCCTACCTAGCACTTCTCCCACCCCAAATACCATGATATATGGGGCTTCATTGAGCGATTCACGCATACGTTCCTGCATTCATTCAGCAAACACTCGACTGAGCACTTTCTATGGGTCAGACACTGGATGAGGCCTGAGGAACACAACATGATTAAAACCAGCCATGCTCTCCCCCACAAGGAGCTTGGGTCCCCTGGGGACTGCAGACATTAACTGACAATCACCAGATCAATTTCCCTTGTTTTAGGAACATTGGCCTTTTTTCCCTCCAAAATAGCCCCCGAGAAAGATTTTTATTTCTGTTTACGATAGATGAATGCTTTTCATGACCATGAGGAAAGAACCATAACTAACTCCAGAGTCAGGCCCCAGGCTCCCACTGGTTCATCCAGAACTTGGCTCCTCCCAGAACCCCCTCCCCACTCCTCGTCCCACAGAGGGATCAGCGCTCGTCCTGCACATTGAGGGCACCCCCCACCACTGTGCTTGTTGAAGCTGGCCTATGTCTGCACTCTCAGGCGCCCAAATGTAAAAGAAATGTGGCTGCAACCATAATTAATAACATAATTAAAAAAGAATTCAGCCATCAGGAAGGGAGAGGGAGACAGAGTGATTACTCTGTCCTCCTGTAGAGCTAGAGTTTCTGGAGAGGTTTTGCTGGAGGCACCCAGGAGGACAGGGGTTTGCTCATGAGGGGTGAGATTTGGGCTTTTGTATTCCCCACTGTGGCCCAGAGCCTGGCACACTCAATAAATACCGGTTCTCAAATGCGTATTTGTGAACGTGTCTTTGTTAATGAACTCAAAGCTAAACTAACTCGTTTGCCCACAAAGAGTTTTTGGCTTGCACGGACAGCCCTTGCCCTCGTTCACACAGCCAGCACCAGCTGGGCAGGCACCTGCTCACACCCCAGGTGAGTTTAGCAGGTA